ACAGTCACCTCAAAGTATAGATGAATAGCTAATAACAAGTTAAGAAATATATCAAAGGATGGTAATTACTAATGATTAACACTCTGAAGTGGGTTCGACCTGCAACCAATATCTCGAAACCTAATCACTCTCTCTTCCTTTGTATTCTTCCTTTAGCACTTGATCATCCTACCGCGTGTTGCCTTTATATTTCAACTCTCACCTTAACTGGTAATATAATACTAAATCAAATTTTTAACAACTACTGAATATAGTTAACGTTCTCTAGTCTTAGTTGTAAAGGAGTCTAAATAGTTGATAATGGCTACTTACTTTTTGCCCCTGTAAGTGGGTAACCTTTTGAAGATTTCCCCATGTTTAATCTAAAATGGCACTCCAATAGGGGAAAATTATCAACAACTACAATTTTTCTTCACTGAAAAACTGACCATACAACTTACCTTTTTGGAAATCCTCTAGGACCATCTGCAGGTTGGCTAGTGATAGAGTATACTGCTTTACTTGTTCCTGGGAGACCGAAAGCTGCAGTGCAGTTTCATCCCTTTGCTTGGAGACGACATTCAGTTGCTCCTGTAACGACTCTACCTGCACGCTGGCTTGATGGCTTCAAACAAAAAGAATAAAAATCAAACTGCTTCTATTACTTTAACCAGAAGAATCACCTTCCCTAAGTCTTATTGCACTAAATTCAGGGTAGATTTCAAAGTATTTAGGTACTTTAACAAGATGAAACCTCTTCCCTACATTTTCTTATTGTGGTAACATACACATTAAAATTAGCCATTGTAACCATTTTTACATGCACTGCTCAGTGGCACTAAGTACAATCCCACTGTTGTGCAACCACCACCGCCATCCATCTCCAGAACTTCTTTTCATCTTCCCAAACTGAAACTCCATACGCTTTTTTTTTGTTTGGCGGCTGACTGGTAGAGGGATCTGAACCCTTGATCTTGGTGTTACAAGGCTGCGCTCTAACCAGCTGAGCTAACCAGCCAGCCCCGATGCTCATTAAACAACAACTCCCCCTTCCTCTGGCAACCACCATTCCACTCTGTCTCTATGAACTGGACCTTCGCGACATTTTATTGCATTAAATTCAAGTTAGATTTCAAAGAAATTTGAATAGTTCCTCTGTTCTCCCTATTTTTATCAATTCAATGATCTCTCCTGTAAAAGTGACTTTGAACAAATGGCTTAAAGACTAAGAATTAGGCTAAACAAGAAATGTCAGCAAAAGAAAAATTTACAAATAGTCTGCAACTTTCAAGTCTCCCGGTTAAATCTCTAAGATGTAATTTATCTCAGAATTTTAAGTTGTAAGGGACCTTCAAAGTCATTTTATCCAGCTTCTAACCTAACAAAGAAGAGATTCTATGACACCCCCTTGCTTTTGACACTTGCAATCATGGTGAACTCACAGTTTCCAAAGGCTATCCAACTGACGAACTAACTGCTCTGATTATTAGTTAATTATCTTTTACTATCATCTTTCTTTTTACCTACATTAAATACGATAATACCTAGTCCTGTCCCAAAACAACAATCCAGGGGCGTGTGTGCGTGCGGCCGGGAGGCGCGGCCTCGGCCCATTAGGTGAGCGTAGCTCCCGCCGCCCAGCGCTAGTCGCACTGTACAGCGCTCGGAGCAGCAGCCCGGCGCAGACTTCGGCCGCTGCCGCCGCCGCCGCCGCCCCCCTCGGCTCCATGTCGCCAAGCGGAGCCCCCGGTCTGCAGGAGGAAATCCTGCAAGGCTCCTGGGTAGAATTGCACTTTAGCAATAATAGAAATGGGAATAGTGTCCCAGCCTCAGTTTCTATTTATAATGGTGACATGGAAAAAATACTCCTTGATGCCCAGCATGAATCTGGACGGAGTAGCTCCAAGAGTTCTCACTGTGACAGCCACAGACACCACAGGATATTTATAGAGCTTGTGAAACCGATACCCATAGTAGCATTGGAAAAAAAAAACAGCTCTCAGTCTGAGGAAGATTACATTGAGAGAAGGAGAGAAGTTGAAAGCATGTTGAAGAAAAACTCAGATTGGATATGGGATTGGTCTAGTCGGCCAGAAAATATACCCCTCAAGGAGTTCCTCTTTAAACACCCGAAGCGCACAGCTACTTTCAGCATGAGAAACACGAGCGTTATGAAGAAGGGGGGGCATTTTCTCAGCAGAGCTTCTCAAGGTTTTTCTTCCCTCTCTGCTGCTCTCTCATCTGCTGGCTATTGGATTGGGGATCTATATTGGACGGCGTCTGACAACCTCAACCAGCACCTTTTGATGAAGAATTGGAACTCCACTTTGTTCACA